GATAGAGAGATGGTTACGTTAATCTGTACGCACCGCCATCTATTGATGAATAGAATTTTTATGAATTTTTTATTTTTTTAGAATTTTTGCCTCTCAGGCGTGCTTATTCTGAAAATATCTTTAGTTTTCCTCTAGGCTGCGGAGTTCTCTAGTTATGCGAGTACGAACTAATTTGGCTGAACAACTTTATACATATATATACACTTTTCTACCGTCCATATAGCCGTGCGTATATTAGCGCTGATAGGGTCTATGTCCCCTAAGGTACTGCCGGAACGTACCCTGGTAACTATCTAATATGCCGGACCGTACCTCGCCTACTTCAAACCGTACCCCGACTTTCAGCCGATGTCGTAATACATTACGCGCTTGTCGGCAGGAAAGGCGCCCGCTTTATGCTCCTTTCCTTGTTTCCGGGTCCGTCCGTTCCCGCAAAATATTCGTAACCCTTACCCTGTTATGTTTCACCTCTTGACCCTTTCTACAAGTGTCAGCGAATTTATAAGTTTCTAACCCATTAAGATAATCATACAAATTTTCCTGTTTCACCACAACCCTTGGAGCCATCTTTCAAAAATCTCGCGTGAAAATGCGCGAAAATGTCGTAAACATTGCGAAAGGAAAACGCATTCCGGATCATCGCGATATTTGCAAAAAGATTGCGCGCATAAGTGTATATAGGTTGAAATTTCTTCTTGACGATCTGCAGCCCGGATATACGCGCGAAGCGCGAACAGCGCCTTTTCATCCAATTCGCTGCCCTGTATGTAGAACTAACTACTCGAAGCCCTCTGGGTACTACAGAAAGCCGGATAACGTCGTCAATTGAGCAGTTCTGAGGCGATTGCAGAAGCCTTTCGACTCTGCACGTAGGGCGCAGAATAATCCAATGTCGTAATTGCTAATTTTTTTGGTCGGCGCGTTACGTTTTCCTCTAGAAAAGCGATTTCGAATTTATTTAATTTCACGCTCTCAACTTATTCTCGTACATATGCCGTGCCATAGATGGCGCGACGAGGCTCTCTTCGAGGGATTTTCCAGAGAATTTTCCACACAAGGAACGGCGAATAGGCTTAGGACTGCCCCGCGGCTGGAGAGTTCGACACGCTGCACTAACTATAAGTTTAGTGTAGCGAAAGAGACTTGGCCGAATGAACGTCCGTACCAGTCTAACTGGAATCGTGACGTCGCGTTTCATTATCGTAGCCATGTTGGTTCTCCTGACGTTTATTGGCTAAGCCGCTTGATGATGTTTGTTTAGACTGAGAATTGCCACTAGACGTTCTCTGGCAAAAGAACCCGCCGGCCGTCGGCGTCAGCCGTATGTGCTCCCACAGCAGAATCAGTGCGGCGTCTGAAGGTCTACGAATGTTAAGAATTACACTGCGCAAAACCTTTCTGCATTTAACGTTGCGCAAAACTTTTTCAATAATCCGTAGGTGAAACAGAGTAGGCCTAGCCATATACGGCTATAGTATAGAAACATTTAAGAATTTTGTACTAAGTAAATACATTTACGGACTGTTGGATGAGTATTTCTTTTTAAATCGTATGACATACAGCGAGTGTATTTAGTTAGCATTATATCTATTGAAACGCTTCAAGTGCTTGTGCCTTCAGTCTATGGAAAACTACCAAGGTCGAGAGTTGCACGTCACGTACACGCGCCGGCGAGAGAGCGCGCGAGCCGAAGACCCTTATTAATCCTTATTAACCGTGGCGGCAGGAGCGAGCGAGAGCGAGAGAGAGAGAGAGACAGGACTGTGGGAGCTGCGAGAAAGAGAGAAAGAGAGTGGGAGAACGCCAGATAAGGTACGAAAATACGGCAGGTGACGGTACGACGGCGACCATGTACAAACGCGTGTCAATCCATAATCGGAAAGCCCCCCTCCAAAGCGCGATGTAGCGCGAGCCATGTACGTGTCCCGAAAACTTGGCGCGATGTTATGCTGCCTGCTATACGCATTCGCGCGCCCGCCTTCCTTCGGCGCGCGAATGCGTACAGCGGGAGCTATATACATCCCGCGGTCCGCGTGCGCCCAGTCCCGCGGAAAGTGCGCGGTCTTAACCGCTTTCGGCGGTCGGGGAACAACGCATCTTCTGCGCAAGGCCATCTTGTATCCGCGTCTCTCTTGGATTTCACAGTTTCATACTCCAATCCAACTTTATAAAGATATTATCAGGAGTAAGATAATATAGAGGAGTATGACTGTCCAAAACATGTGAATTTCAACATTTGCTTGCCTAATTTTACCAATGATATATTACGTGCCAACTCGATAAAAATTACATCTAAATGAGCGTTGGACATCCGTCTCTAACTAAAACTTTACTTTGTTTAAATACCTCTTGCCTTTACGGAGATATAGCTTTGCACTCACACATGGTTCAATAGTGTTTAACTAAGCTGGCGGCTCAGATTGCCCAGATACGCTTCCGAACAGTGGCTAGCCTGTGAGGAATGGTCTTGTCTGTTGACAAGAATGCCACCTGTTGGCGGCAGGAGTAAGATAATATAGACTTCTATATTATATTCTATATTATATCATACACACTATATATATTATCCTATATATATAATATATACACGTATATATATATACACACATATATACACACTATATATATACACACATATACTATATTATCTTATATTATATAATGTCATATATTATCTTAACTCGCTGCGCGCCAACAGATGGCATTCTTGTCAACAGACAAGACCATTCCTCACAGGCTAGCCACTGTTCGGAAGCTATCTGGGCCAATCTGAGCGCGCCAGCTTAGTTAAACACGTATGAACATGTGTGACGTTCAAGGCTATATCTCCGTAAGGCAAGAGGTATTTAACACAAAGTAAAGTTTTAGTTAGCAGACGGATGTCGCAACAACGCTGTGCATTTAGATGTAATTTTTATCGAGTTGCACGTAATATATCATCGGTAAAATTAGGCAAGCAAATGTTGAAATTCACATGTTTTGGAGAGTCATACTCCTCTATATTATCTTACTCCTGATATTATACAGGTCTGTATGTATATTTCAAATTTTGCGACATCAGTAGTGGGCGGAACAGGGACAGTCGGTAGGGTACGGTAGGGAATGAGCGAGGTACAGTCCGGCAGTACCCTGGGGGACATAGACCATATCAGCTATATTAGCCTATGAGCGATACCGCACGTATATTTTTGGTAATTAATTAAATTATTCGTGCTGTCAAACTGCAGCTGACCCACTTCGTGTGCATGACGGAGGGCGTCTACAGCTCCACGTGGCGCGATCTCATTGGTGTCGAGTACCAGCAGATCTTGACTCTCCTCTTCAAATGGATTCCCCAAGTCTTCCATCACGTTGACCATAGACTGTACATCTTTCAGGAAAGCAGTCTGTACACTTGCTGACTGGTCATAGTGCCTTGTGTCTTGTGGTCTGTTCCCCGGGTCAGTTTCGTCGTGGAACGGTTCGATGAGCATGGCAACCTCTGGTTTTGCCACCATCCACCATCGTAGAGCGTTGGGGTAGTCAGTAAGGCCCACTGCACCTCCGTCTCCTTTGATGACAGCATTGTTCTGCTCGTGGGATTGATCGACGGGAATGGCGTAGAACAATCTGTTCGTCTTCTGGATGATGAAGTTTCCAGCTCGGAATTCCTGGGCTATTTCAGGGTGTGTCGTCGGCAGTTCTACCATGTCTTGCAGATGCACAGGAATCCAGCGCGCGTAGTTGGTGTGATCCAGGGCATGAAACCACACTGCTAGTTCTGTCAGGGCATCTAGGTACATCACAAACGACCCTTGGCGCAGAGAGCGCACGTACACCAGGACCGTCACCTCCAGTTGCAGGACAGTTACCCAGTAGTCGAACTGGGGGCAGGTCTCCGCTTTTTGCTGGCACCAATCGTCGAACTCCAGCTGCTCGTTGCGTGTGTCACCCAGCTGGTCAATGTAGTGGTTGTAGGCATGCTGCTGCAGGGTTAAGAAGACTGCTGCTGTCACTTGATGAGCCCTCCTGGTTCAACTGACATGGGATGCCCGCAGGAAGAAGTCCGCTGTCCAGGCACTGGTGATCTCTGCCTGAACCAGTGCTTGCACCCATCTGCTCCCTTGCAAGAGCAAACTTGTCAAGTAAATAAAATTTGTACGTTACAATAGTGGCCAGGAATTGTTCAAAGATATAAAACCATACCGCGTAAGGCCGCCCTAAAATTAATTAGAAGGAATGTCTGAGGGTTGTTTTTTATGACGTATGTATACCTGGTTAAACGATAATTTAATTAACCACGTAGATGTTATGTAGAACTTGATTTTATTATATCTTATATTCTGATCATTAAGAGGCGATGACGTGATACTGAATGGAACACTGGGTACTATAGCGAAAGTTACGCCCGAGAGTCCAGAAGAAGATGCCGTCGACATTCCACAAGATAAATAACTTCAATTAAACGTTCCTTTCAACAAATGGGTTTGCTAACTGCCGGTTTGATTTTTCCAGTAAATATGTAGTGTGTCTTACCATTCGCAGCATTCAAATGTAATTAGTTAATTTATGAATTAATTATAAATCTTTGAACTAATTAATCAATAATTTCGTATATTTAACGATAACTTGCAAAATCACAAGGTTGTCTAGGAAAACAAACACGAAAGCTATCTTTACATATCCGAAAAATTATTAGAACTTATTATACTGTTTACGCACCTTTCGGCTCCAGACTTCATAATTATTTGGAAAAGTGTGTATAAGTGTAACTGTATAAGTATATCTAATTAACAGCATCCATGATACGAATTGTATCTTATCTATATATAAACAAAATTCATGTACGTTCTACGTTGTTTAAATCTTGGTTTTGACATTTATGTTATCGTATTATATCAAATCTTCGGTATCACACTATAACGTTCGTGTAAGCACCTGGTGCAATGTAAGAAGCAACAACATCAGAGTATATAGCAAATTTGCTCGTAGCAAAATAAGAAAACATTACAGAATTTCCTTTTGAAACCAAATTTGACGAAATTATTTATTAATTAACATGTTGACTAAAATCTCACACATAACACCAACTATTTATCATCCAATCTATCGAAGTTTATGCATTTAAAATATTTATTTTTTATTTTTTATATATTTTTGGTTAGAGTGTATCTCAGCGTACATCTGTGAATTAATTTTTCAGTAGTCAACCTGTGTTTATAATTAGGAGAGCGCCCTATCCTGTAAGGTGGAAAACTCTTATACAAATGTTGATGCACCGGATTCAAGATAATTATAGAGGCCGAATTTGACTGTATTTATAGTCTATTGTTATTTGTATCACACCAAGCGTCAGGGTAGCTAGTATTGACATATTAGTCAATCCCGCAACTTCCTCATTAACCCTATTTACTTGACTGTGCATATTCTTCATTACTCTGTTGCTTCTTCCTCCTGGGTTATATGAATAACCTTTGATATGGTGCCCAATGTTCCATTCAGTATCACTTCCTCACCTATCAAAAATGGACCGTTAGCATATTATTTGTATTTCATTATTATAACATCGATGAATGCATTGCTAGAACACCGACAATGGTCACGAAACATTGGTATACACGACTGCATGAATTCAATCGGAATAGGCATCGTATTCGCATTAAAAAACACAAAATGTAGATGTCAAATTCTGCCACGTTAGATTCATGAATGAGAAAACACACGGTGATTACCAACGCGTATGATGGCAAGCAAATCCCTCCTGCTCTATAACTCTCGTTGATCTATTCACTACCCAATTTAATTTATATTATATCATTATAATCTGACCAACTTAGTAACTAATAAAACCTACTGAATTAGTGTAGTACAACGGGTGCTACCTGTTTTAAAGATATGTGTAGCTTTCTTGGCAGAGACGATGCATGGAAGCCCATACTCTCTTGCAATTACGGCTCCTAAAGTCATATAGAAACCGCATGTTTATTATTACCGTGGTTTCTTAGTATTGCGTGTATATTATGTTGAGCTGAAATAGGTGTACCCTTGCTACTACGAAAAATGTTTTAAAGCCGCACAGTGCGCATCCAAACGCTAATTTCTTCAGTACTAGACTAGCAAATACTTCGTGTCATGCATAATCATACTACCTTATGGCAAAATAAACTCTAGTTCCTCCCTTTGGACTGCGCGTTCCCTACAAGAAAGAGGTGCGAAATCAGGTAATCAGGCCCCAACGCTAAATTGTTTCAAACAACATAACATCGAAGTGGTGACGTGACGTCAGATGTTTTTATCTTTGCTGCGCCCGTACCGCTGTACCGCGGCACAGCTGCACGGTTGCTTGGAGATTGGGGAAACTGACAAACTGTCAACAACATTGGAGGTATTTTCAAAATAGCTTTTATTAAGGACACGCCGCAGTGAAAATGGAGCGAACTAGAGTTTATTTTCATAATGCGTAGTATGATTATGCCATGACACGCAAGTCATTATGCCTAGTCTAGTACTGAAGAAATTAGCGTTTGGATGCGCATTGTGCGGCTTTAACATAATAATACTGGGCATATTTTTTTATCAGAAATACTTGTTAATAAACGTATCTATTCATCCATCCATCTATCCAGCCAGCTAGCTAGCTAGTCATCAAGCCATTTCATTTCTCCCTTCTTTCCTCTCCTTCCGTCCATCCATCCATTAGACAATCCATCCATCCATCCATCCATCCATTCCATCCCATCCATCCAGTCCATCCATCCATCCATCCATCCATTCATCCATCCATCCACTCCATCCATCCAGCCATCCATCCAATCCATCCATACCATCCATCCATCCATCCAATCCATCCATCTATCCATCCATTCCATCCATCCATCCATCCATCCATCCATCCATCCATCCATCCATCCATCCATCCATCCATCCATCCATCCATCCATCCATCCATCCATCCATTCATCCATCAATCCATCCATTCATCCGTCCATCCATCCATCCATTCATCCATCCATCCATCCACCCGTTAATTCTTCTGTCTGTCAATTAATTTATCCCACTAACCATGAGACATTAGGCCACCCATCTCAGTACACAGACCAGACACCAGGGGGAAGTAAGGTGACCAACCGATGTCCGTGTAGGCCACGATGAGGATCTCGCCTTGCTACAAGAGAAGTAGAATCGTGCGTAATCATTTTGATTTTTTCCTATTCATATCCTGTCCAATTAGACCTCTGAGTTATAAAAAGCTGTCACTATACTGTGATATTATTTCGTATACCATAAGCACCGAGCGTTTTTATCTATCACTATCTTTGGACGTTACTTTAAATAGTCTAGCACTTGCTTTTGGTGCATATCAAGTAATCAGCAAATATTTGATGATTGACTTGCGACAAACGTATTTTTGTTTCATATTTTTACTCTTTATAAAGATGTTGTTACCTCAATGCTGTTTGCCTCATCCAGAGATTTCACAATTCTACATTTTGCTCGTATAACACCATGACTGACGGGCATACCTGGAACCAAATTAAGGAACATCTGAAACGAACACCATTCTGATCCATCTGGAAAAAATTTCGGTTACGCAAATACTAATAATACGTGCATTGATTATAGGAAGGCAATTTGGCATACATAGTTTTGCACTATGATGCCTGAGTGCTAGTAAAGTAAAGCTTGCATGCATTACAATAACGAATGGCTCACATTACTGGCTGACATGACCACTGATCTCTATATACTAACATATAGCTATAATATATAGTTATATATAACATATCTAACATATAGTTAGCATATTATAAAGATTAGTGGACATGACTAGAAATGCAACAATGAGACAAATAGCCGAGATATTTATAAAAACATGATAATTATAAATTTTTCACGTATTTCTTAGCCTTTATTTCAAACTAGTTTAGTTCGCAAAAATAACGCGAATCGCCGTAAAAATAAAGATGTCGTTAGTGATGCGAGCTTATGATGATGATAGCGAAGAGTTCCGGTGTAATGACGTCATCAACATTTGATTTCTTTTCAAATAGAAAATATGATAACATTAATTGATGTAAAGCAATGAATCACCTTTCAGCTCCCCTGTTGTAGGAACGTCTATCGTGTCACCATCTTCGATCTGAAAATTCAAGTTAGGGAGTTTAAAAATTGGATTCAATTATCGAATTGCTTTGGCGGAGAACAATTGCGAATTACGGACCAATGGGAAATCACCTATACACATTTTGTTCTATATACTGAACGTATTTGTGCAGATTTGCATGCACGTGGATGTACGATCGTGGAGTGTGTATGTGTCTGAGTATACACATGCACGGTGGTGTCTGCGTGCGTGCAGGCACGTGTATGTTTGTTTGCTTGTGCGCACGTGAGCGTATTCGTATTGTATATAAGTGAGTAGTCTGATTTTAGCTTACAGGCGTTGGATAGCCCGTGATAAGCTCTTGGAACTCCATTGCCATCAGGGCTGGCATCATCTTTCTTAGTCGAACTGCTCTGAAACAGTAAAAGAAACCTCTAAGTCAAGTATGAAATTATTAGCAAATTATCATACTAAGTACTGTATGCATGATTAATCTTTCAATATATGGTTTCACGTACGAATTTTTAAATACAAATGATGGGTGAAACTAATACGTACTATTATGGAACTATCAATGATAAAGTAACTAGTAAATTATGGTTGATATTTTTACGTGAACTTGACTAACTTGTTGATGAGTCTGGCGGATCGGGTTTTTATCAGCTCTGCTATTTCCTCGTGTTTGAGGTAAAAGATTAATTCCTTTTCCGGTAGACGGCCCTAATTTATCAAATAAATTATGCAATAAATAATACGGTGACAAACAGCTCCAACGCCTTGTAAAATAATTGTCAGTATATTGATATTGCTGCAACTATGGAACGCGGAAAATGCCGCAGAATTGCAAATTGCATTGACTCTTGTTAGTTGTTAGTCATAAACGGCAAAGTCGTACACGCTACACCTAGATGTTGAACACAGTAGACGCACAACAAACGCATCAATAAATACATGAGTAAATAAAGAGACATGAAAAGCACCTCGTTCACAAGCAGCTGAGCCAGTCTAAGGTATGCTTGACGCAAAATGTCCATGGATTTGATGGCCAAACTTTTCCCATTTTCCCGAAAGCCAACTGCGGCTCGTGCATACGGTAAGAGGAATCGTAAGATTTTTCTGTCAAAAATAAATATAATCATGATTTAATTAATCTGTTCGTTTATTACGTTCATTTCCCTTAACACTTCTGTAGCTAAGCTAAGAGGTGTGTAAAGTTTATGCTAAGCTGAGCTTAAGCTACGTGGCGCCGAGATATCTTTATGTGCATTTAACATCTCCGTCATTATGGTAATATTGGGAAGGAGATTCGTGCCTGTGATCGTATTAGTGGTTACGCGTGAGTGTAAAGGTTACACCATTTGCTAACGTCTATCAAATACAGATTATAAAAAAACATAACAACAATTATATACGTATTCAGTTATTTTCTTTAATTGCACTGCCTTAACTATGTATAATCCCATAGCGGGGCAACCGCGTACACTAGAGGTGAGCGAGTAACATCACAAAACTTACGAGGCTATTGCTGTGTCGACTATTCTCTAACCAATGCGTAGTATATCAACCCTCTCATTCTCACTCTCTCTCCGATCCTGTCTCTAGTCAAAGCCGCGGTTATATACGCACATTTGTGGACCGGCCTACCTATTGTTTCGGGTCACTCCGTACTACGCTACTGCTTGTAATTGGCTAATTCTACCACTGTCAAATCCAGAGTTATAACTTTACACAGCTAGCCTGTATCCCAAAATAGAACAATAGCTTAGTCATGTATATTTATTTCTATGCCTTTCCGCGGTATTAAAGTAATACACGGATTACATGATAATAAATTCTTGTATTTATACTCACTTTTTGATGGGACCAATCGTGGATTTAATGTTATCAAGCGCTTCATCTTCTGTCATTTGCTTTTTTGTTTCCCTCAACTGATGATCAGATTTCGTCATATCCTTGTTGCATATTAAAAATATATTATTATGAAATACATTTGTTAAGATCATAAATCTAATAAAGACAAACAAACAGAGAAATATAAGCATAATAACGAGAAATAAGCCTAAGATCCATGTCAACGGGACAATAAAGGCGTTAAAACACGGTTAACCTATATATATATATATATATATATATATATATATATAGAGAGAGAGAGAGAGAGAGAGATATTACATAGAATATATTCTATATCATATAACACCATATATCAAACACAAATTCAAGCACTAAATTGCTTATTACAAGTTATCAGGGTAGAAAATGTTCTCAAAGAGATAGTTTCAGATACTTTACTCCTAATGTTATTATTAAGTCCAACATTATGTATATTGTCATCAATACATAAATCACACGCGAGTGATATCAACGTAGACGGATCATGGCGGTTTTACGTGTTGTAGTGACGTCAGCCATTTTACTCACCTGTATGGTTCGTACAACTTTTGCTGGCTCCATTGCCCACGTTTTTTCTGAGAGTTCCGACTGTAAAAACAGAGTAGATAATAAAGAGTAAATGAGAAAGAAACTATTCCGAACGCATTTCGAAGTATTCTTTTTGCCTACTAGATAAATAAATTTATATACGACTCATTGGGAGTAGTATCATTAGTTCATTAAGCAATTAATCGAAAAAATATTAACGTGGTTTTTTTCATCCGTTTTTTCATTGAAATAGCATGAACCAACATATAACATTTGCGGTACAATTATTAGCATTCGTTTTAGTATCCCTTGCCAAATAGATTTTGGTTGGAAGAATTTAAAACGACTTAATTGGTCGAATAAAAACGAAAAAATACTGTTACCTCGCGCACGCATCTATGTCCGTGAATCTCGATAAACGTGGCAAAATCCTGCTTCAATCTGCCGCTCTCGTCTGATCTGAGCCAATCAACCGCCTCCTCAGGTGTCAGTGACTGGAAAAGCTCCGCTTTGCCGCAGTCTACTACTGCTATCGCCATCTTTCGGAGGGAAGCTGGAACGTCTGCACTGATTACGTCTGTGCAGGTAGCTAGCAGCAATGCAACATCTGACATCACTTCGGAGTGTTCTGTAACCGAACATGTGGTTGATGAGTGCTTTATGTTTTGATAACCGCGTAGTGGAAATTATGGTAAAATATAAAATCAATTAGCAGCTTTCTTAAAGAATATAAACGCATGTTCTGCACTCTATGCATTATTTGAGAGAACACCACAAACAAATGTGATATTCAATGCATTAGTGTCTGCATTTTCTTAGTACGGAGAATCACGGTCTTCCGACAAGCTGACTTAAACAGATAATTATTATGGTTATTATTGAAGTACACTCAGGACAGACGTTTAACAACGCATAAATAAAGATGATCCTGAGTGTAGTACTGTGCCGATGGTGTACCTGAGTCTTTCTTCTTCACAACTTGTGTGACAATATGACTCGTTATGTTAGATACATTCGAGGCTTGAACGTGGCTGTACCAGGCCTGTAACATATTGAAATCTTTATTAGCGGTTAGAAAGATGGATAATTTCGTACAGTTCCAAGTATATACTATAAATAAAATAATTAATATTCAACTGTTGAAAAGAAAATAATGCGATGGTGACGGAAAGGAAAAGAGATGGAAAAAGCGTGTCGAGATATGATCTATAACTATAGCCCTTTCACTTTGTAATAACATTCGATCAACCCCAGTACGCACCCCAGAACTTATCCTTAATAAGTCCTCAATTTGGCGATGTAACGTGAGTGGGTCAGTGGTTTTGAAGTCCGTGCTGATGCTTCTAACAATGGTGTTACTTCGCTTCAGGTTGCGCTTAGTGCTGAATGCGTCCTAGTAACGAAGGTCACAGCCGATAAGCACGCAATGTATACAATACATAACTAACGCACTCCAATAGCAAAGATAAACGTAACGAAAAATGAGTAAATAACCCCTTTAATAAAAGTTAAGTAAATCGTAAAGTAAACAAACAAAGTAAACGTAAAAGCAAACTCAAGAACCGGATGTGTAGATATACTTACTGTATACACACAGAGAACTCCTAAAATCTTTCTGTACCACGGGACATAGGTGGTTTGGTAGCGCTTGTGAATTCCTTCCAAGTATTCGTCTCCCGTGGAGCCTCCAAACAGTAAAATATCCATAGTATTCTTCATGCTTTTTGTATCCGATCCCATTGTGTACTCATTCCCGGAGTATATTCCCTATAGATTTTTTAATTCTTTAGAATTTCTAAAAAAAAAATTTTCAACGACGAATTTCGAGCAATGAATTGTCAGGGGCGTGGAGTAGTTCTTTAGTTTATCAAATTATCAGTAAATATTTAATAATACGATTATGTGAGCGTGGACACAAATGAACATTCATCATTGCCGGAAGAGCAAATAAACAATATCTGATATTTCTATGATTTTTTGCACCTTCGGAAAATCTGTGACCGAATAATTAATATGAGAAATACATTCTGTTCCTTATACTTGTTGACGTATTGTTGCTAATATGTAGATGTGAAAATACTCTGAACTAAGCGATACCAGCGAACATATCATAAAATATTTTTTTAAGCTAAATCGTCTCGGCTTTGCTACTATCTGTGCAAGTTTTTTTTGTGTTAGATCCAGTAATGGTTATTGCCATACTTACGCTGTACATGTTCAGGAAAAAATGTTTGCAGAAGGTTGATCCGAACACGTCTATGTACGTATCCGCAGTAATTCCCGATGGCCACCGCATGATCTAGAAATCACACATACAGATAATACGCTCAAATATACGCATGTTAATTTTCGAATACATCTTGGATATACAGTTTTTGAGTAGTTCACATATTTAATAATTTTATAACAAAGTGATATAATCATCGCGATGAACTTCTCAGTGAATCTAGACTACGCGAGATGGTTCAATTTCTTTGTAAAACTTAACGCAGTACTTCTCATCTCAGCGGTATATGTGTGTGCCTGGCTGTCTGTATGTACGCGTGCCTGCATGCGTGTGTATCTACCTATATACGTATGTGCCAATACGTGAGTACGACAACGTGCGTGTGCGCGTGCGCTTGTGTGCGTCTGTCCAGCTTCGTTGGGCATCATTTTTACGGGAATCACCGCACTTACTTTTGATAGTTATAAATCAGAAAAAAACGGTAAGATGTCAACGTGCGGGGAGGGTGCTCGGAGTCGACGAATGGAACCTGATCTATATACGCACTATATCACGACTCATTGTTTACACCTAGCGTTGATCTATGTACGCACTATATCATGACTCATCGTTTATACCTAGCGTTGATCTATATACGCAATCATGACTCATTGTTTATACCTAGCGTTGATCTATATACGCACTATATCATGACTCATTGTTTATACCTATCGTTGATCTATGTACGCAAGCATGACTCATTGCTTGTACCTACAGCGTCTACACGTCTTACATCTTGGGTGATGCATAGACCATAGATAACAGACATGGTCGTGCGTGGTTTCACGACATATGAATTAGTCTCGTAATAAGTGTTCTCTATTCTAGCCTAGTGCTCTCTGCTGCTGCTGCTGCTAATCGAATAATAACTACCTGTCCCATCCCGGCGACGTTAGTGACGAATGCGTCTAGTGTGAGAGGTGTCATCGCTTGAGGCATCATCTCCCTGCGGTCCATACAACGAAATAGATGTTAATAAACGAAGACGAAAGCTTATATGTAGCAAAACAAATTCCGTTAAGAATAGAGGACGAGTGACCTTATTCGGTCAAACGACAAGTAATGATTTTTTTCGATACAGGCTTTTGGCACGAGTAAAATTTGTCACGTCACACTGAATAGCTGATGGATCGTTAGCCCGTACTTGTACTACTCAGCATTAAAGAACGATCAGTGTTCTAGAAAGGGTTATTCTAGTAGTGATTGAGTAAGTACATAGAAGGACTATTGTACCTGAGGTTGAGAAAGAAGCCAGCGACAAGTGGGATACAATGTCAAAGCGACTATAAAACTATTCACCCGGTGATTCGCGTTTGTATTACAGGTTCGTCATTCAATTAACGCCCGTTCATCCTGCTCATTGATCAGCTCGTTTCTGACTCATGTTGAGGACGATTGGGTCGAGCTTTGCAGCAGGTAGATCTGCCCGTCTTTCACTGGCAAACTCTAATCTCGCGCGTCGTCCGTGAACGAGTTCTCAACCTGTAAAACATGTAATGTCAGCGTTTCTAGCTGGCGTTACATAGAACTGAAAATACTATTTATATGTGCCCATGCAAGAGCTCATATCGCATAATGCGAATTCGAATTATTGTAGACTTGCCACGTTTCAGGTTACCTGCATTGTATGAAACAGATAAGTAATCCCCACAGACTTAGGTTGATTTACCTGTATGCCAATGTTCCCCGAAATTCCAAGCTGATTCGTCTGTAGGCTTACATTCACCTTTTAGCGTCTTGTGCTCTATTTCCCGCCTTCTCCTGGTCTGTCAATCAACAAAATGAATTTCGATCACTTAGTTGTACCATTGATTTCAGTTATAATGCCTTCTAAGAGCCGAACTCTTAGTTAGATGAGATAAGCTGGGGTAGCGGAGATTATTGTATACATTATGGGTCGCGTCGATTCTGTTTCTGTTTGTCCATTCGATATAATCAGAATTGTTTGGGGTTCGAAAATATAATCGAATAATAATTCACCTTCACTGATACCCCGTAGAAACTGCAAATTTGACCCCCCATCAAACTAGTCCGGACCAGCGCGCGCGCTAATATCTTTCAGTTCAGTACACGCTATCCCGGGCTGAAATACGCGCTGTCTATGATGAAGTGCTAAGTTAGCGCGACGAATGAAAGAGCGGCCAGGCCCGCATCGAAGCGTGCTAAGTTATCCAATACTAATGTCGGATAAATAATGAGACTATAATGAGAGCTCGGTCGATGACAAACTGTCGGATGAGGCGTACATGTTTACGCCATTCCGTGGAACAATAATTTCCATTGTTAGTATGTTAATTTAATTGTAATATATATTTCATTTTATTTTTATATTTATAGTATTTTTAATGATATGTATAATTTTCGCGGGATCTCACTTACCACTAACATCCATTCTTACGCACTTGCTTCCTTATGATTATCTCTTGATGCTAAGCTTATCGTTAGAAGGCTAACGATGCAGAAATATTGTATCTGGTTCCGTCACTCCCGAAGACACCGCCTGGAAGCAAATAATTTATTGCGTTTCTACTATTATAGATCTATTTATTATCTATTATTATTATTATTATTATTATTTACTATCTATTTATTATTTATATAAGAAAGATAACGGGTTTTCAGAATCATAAAGATTGACTCATTTTCATTTCATAGCTCATTTTCTTCTAGATTGAGAGTGAAACTGCGATCTATCTGATAAATCTATTCCTTTAGATGTATTCGTGATATTTTATTTCAGAATCGAAGCATAGAATAAATAAGGAGATTCAAAAGCATTTTCAAAATATCTGCACTGGAATTAGCTTCATCATGTTGAACGACAGTTTCTATGCATATTTCGGAGTCTATCCGTCTGGTCGTTATCTCAAATACCCTGTTTGGAGGAATCATTCCTATAGGGATACGCATAGAGATACTCACCTCGGCAGTCTGTGTTGTAATGCTACCTACGGGCGAATTTCAGTAGCAGTCTTATGCTAGATTGTACTTCCTCTCCTAACCTACACATCTCTTTCAAATTTGCACGCTCACTACCCGCCTTTGTTCTAATTTTAATTTCTTGGATCATTTATTTGGGATGGTTTCGTCAATTTACCTCCCCGATTCCGTACGACACGTTGATGGACATGACGCCAGGGTTTCCAGACACTGGATCTCTGGTGAAGAGAACACCGGCAGCGTCTGCCTTCACCATCTCTTGCACGCAGACGCCAACATCTGCTGCTACAACCTGACCGTGGTTCCTGCACGAAAGACGTTCCAATGCAAAAGACATTGCGTGATGATTTTGTTTCCTCGTGATAATATTTTTTGCCATTATATCTGCAGCAGTTATATTCATTATTAACTATCACTGTGTTGTCTTTAAGTTAACGACAATGTAACTTATTATTTGGATGCTTTCATAGTTCAATATACAGGCGAATATACTCTGAAAAGTGAGACGATCATACCTCCTGTACTCAACAGCTTGCTGTGTGAACGAGGATGCCCAACACTTTACGATAGCGTGGCAAATCTGGAAATGGTATCGCAAATATTATCAAATGTAGTATAATATAGCTGATCTCAGTCATTACATGAAATACGTCTGCAAAGCTGGTACTTGTAACGCGTAATTGTTCATACAAAATAGTAAAAACACTTTATAATAGCGTAGAAATTCTGAGAAAAAAGGTATCGCAAGAATTTTGGTAGTAGCTTAAAGCATAGTACCTGATCCTCGCCATTAGCGTAGGAAAAACTGAAATCGGTCTGCCAACATGCTTTATGGAAGCTAACTTATTAAGCTATGATTGCTAACGCTATAATCGTCGACTGCAGAGACATATATGTGTTAGGTATGTCTCATTTACTACAGTTTACGGCTCGATCTATGCGCATCAATACCTCCTTTATGCCCGCGACCCCAAGAAACGTCTCCATCTGCCCCGCGAATGAAGCTTCACCACCATCTTCTCCTTTAAAAGTTAGTCAAAAATATTTTTAAATATCACGATATTACATGCCGAGAATTCTTGTTGCTGTAAATTCCACTAGCATTATTAATGTTAGATGTGTTAACTGTGCAACATACCGACAGCAGAGACAACGAATTGTTGTCATTGATAATCAGAAACAACTCGATGTTTTATTTCGTCCAAAAACATTACTTGATGTCTTGCTTACAGGCAAATTTTTATGATAATATTAGACGTTAGTTGTCCAACATACCGACAGCAGACGATCGTACGGCAAACGTCTTCTGTTTCCATTCATCGCTAAAGAGATCGTTCAGCTGTTTCGCGACATCCGTCTCTAACGATGTACTCAGCTTTGTCTTTGTGAAGCTCTCCACGGTGGTTTTTGATAATTCCTGTATACTGCCTTCCTTCTTCTGACTATAAATAAGTAAAAGCCCCCGAGTAACTTATATAAGCTTTATGCATTTCCTACAATCAGTGGAAAAGCAGCAACCAGCAATGTGATACGAACTTAAACCATAATAGTGGGAGAAACGTGCTTAAATTTATTCTACGATACTCTGCTCCTGATTTCTTACTACTCCAGGTCAATAGTGTGTTCAAATTTATTTAACGACTTACTATGCAACATCCTCTAGTTCTTTAATGCAGGCAGTCAGGGTCTTGTTATCGTTCAGATGATGTTTGTAAGCCGCAACGGTCATGCAAAATCCTCTTGGAACCAGGAACTAGAAGCAGAATCAATAGTCTCACACAAATTCTATTTCAAATAGGTAGGCAAGGCAATCGTGGCGCAGGGTATATATATATATATATATATATATATATATATATATACTTCGGGGTTCCGCGCACATATGATAGGAACACGGTACACAATATAACTCATTATGATGAGTTCTGATCGTATATAACAGCCATGTTTTCAATGTTTGACTGCCACACTAGTTAACCCTTCCTTCTTACCTGCGATAAAAATTTCGATATGGGCAGTCCACAATCCAGACAAGATGTCTCGTATTACACGTACCTTGCCAGTTAGTTGGGTCAGCAAGGCCAGTTGCATACCTTTACCACCAACCAGTTGTGAGGAGGCACATGCGGGATTGGTGAAGTCCAGTGTTAGTGCACTATTGTTAATTTCTTCTCCCACTTAAATTGCCAAATGATAATATATGACAAAACTTAATAAATAATTAAATAATTAAATAGGCAAACAAATACGCAAACAACAAAACATTAATGTTGAATTTTGAATTACATGTTAAAGTTACAATAAATAAGTAACCATGGTTAAAAGCTATATATAAATATAAATATATAATTATAATATTAACTATACCATATAACTAATAAAAGCACACATATATGTGTATATATAATTAATCAAATTCGAAAAGTTCTATTCCCATTATTTGATACTATTTAGTAAGTAATATAAAGCCTTAGGCCGCTATACTTTATCATGTGTAATATACAAGCGTAAAATTGCGATGTCAAATACGCAACGTCACCAATCTCGTGTGTTTTTGTACAATTTTTAGGGAGTAGGATCGCATACATTCATGACTATTCCTAAAGCATTGACTAAGGTAGGCATTCAAAATCACAACCACGCATGTATGCATTTAACGTTGGTAGGAGGTACACGATTAAAGGAGAAATATAATTTATAGGAAATTAATTCCTACCTGTTTCCTTTAACATTGGGACCGATTGCTGAGGAATCGCTGCACACAGACCGTGATGTCTAAAAAAGAACGTTCCCCGACAACTTTGAAAACATTTCGATCTACGAATAGTCTGCATCAATGACTTTAATTAACATCTCGAAATCGTTACATGTTTTAGATAACCTGATAAATGCGAATGTTCTTTACTTCCGCCACGAATGTTTTGCTCATAATCGATATCCTTGCATCATTATTAATCACATTCATTGAGCGGTCACACACATTCACACACCAATATACAAGCACACGCGTACGTCACGCACATACACACGCACACAGACAACATATGTACACACACACACACACACACACACACACACACACACACACACACACACACACACACACCCAACACATACACAGCACACACACACACCTGTACATGTAATCAGTAACGCCCCAGCCCTTGATTCCATTGATCGTCACATCGGTGAATTGCTCATGAATCCTGACGCTCCATTTATCTCCAGCATAAAGAATTTGCTCCTGCTTCTTCTCTACCGTAACAGTGCAGTCAAGGTGGCCTGGGTGAAACATAGATTACATGAAAAAATATAATCTAATTATAAATTAAATCGATTACGCTCTTGATATGCATACAGGGATTAGCGATGCAATTCTTGTCTTGTGTCTATATGACTAACTGAACACCTAGTATTGCTTACGTTTGATTACAGCGTGGTGTATACTAAGCCTAAACAGATGACCATATTAACTAACTATACCAGACGAGAGCGTTGAAGCTGAATTGTCGGGGATGCTGCGCTGAATGTCGCGATCCGCGACAAGTGCAGATCGCTTGATTTCAGCACAAGTGTCTGTCCACTCGGCAAGACCATGTATCCGCTAGTGATGCTGGAAAAACGAAGAAAATGTGTTGGAAGGCAAAGTCTTTCATTATGCTTACTACATGATTTTTTCATGCTTCATGGAAAGTGACAACTGATTGAGATTATCGCAAAAGCGTTTTCGATATTATTTTTGAGATATTTCTCGGGAGAGAAAAAGAGCCAAAGATACCGATACTAACTAGTTGCAGGGTTTATAAGAACTAGGCTGTATAGGATTAAAATAAATTCAAATCATCGAAAATTATCTCAAAATCTTCTTTTTTTTTAGATTATTTAACCCTGGTGTATGGTTGGGGTAAAAAACTATAGCTTTATGGTAACAGAGAAGCCACTATAATTATTATTGAGTTTAAAAAACATTTACATTGTATTACTCACTATTCAAATTATCTTTCGATTATATAAAAATCTTATAGTTATGTAGAATATCATTAGAAGCAAAATAAGGCTATAATGTTTATCATACTTATATTTTATACCGATATCAATATCATATGAAACTGGAACTTGTACTTACTGGGAGGCAAGTGAGGGAAGACTTCTGGCCAAAAGGAGAAGATTGTTCCATCCTTCAGAGGAATATAATTAATAAGATCGACAAAGCTGTCGTGGAGAACTTTTTTACAGAGTAGTGAACTATAGAGTACGAAGAATCAAAACATGCACGCTGTCGGGGTTTCGCGTACAAAGATTAAAATGACATTCGACATTTATAAATTAGTTAACAGTATCTGGCAATAAATTGATGGGAATATCTTAGTGATTCATCAGAAATACCATTTCGCGCGTGTTCGCATGGAATGGCGCCACTGGCGCGTAATTTGCGTATCACTCTATGAGAACACTAAGAGGGGAAACAAGCTGCTAACCTCCAGATATCCCCAGTTAGCAATGTATCTGTTGTATGTGCTCCAGTCTCGGATGCCCCATGCATGCTCCCTGACTCCTCTTAACAGCAGCTTCTTCTCCGGCTCTCCTTCCACAGTTAGCTCACCATGTAATTGTGCGCAAACCTCATACTTGTGGTTTTCTTTACTATAGATAGAATGTGGAGGGCGTAGTAAAATGTTTTTTCTTATTTGCATTTAATAGTTCAAGAGATTGTCTAAGTAATAAACATGGTAAGTACAATTTCATGAAACATACCTGTATTTATTTAAGCGTTGAAGGTAGCTAGGGCTCCATGGTTCTCTAGCAACAACATCGGAAACCACAGAAAGATCGTTGTCATCGATGTATGAGAACTTCCCAGAAAAAGACGTACACCTGCCAAGAATTGCTTTTTGATTATTTCTTACGATAGGCTATGGTGCGGTCACCGCGATGGCATGAAATGCAACGACGCAACGAAACGCTTACAACGCAACGCATAGTAACGCAGCATAAAGGGGTTAATTTTAAAAACAATTACCTACCTCATACAGTGTACTTGATAAACCTCAAAGGGCACAAGATTTAACTACCCTGGCGGAGATATCCGTTACAAGTCGTCCAATAGTAATCGTCGTTATAATTCAAATACGTAAAATGGTTATAATCCTAGTAGATAATACGAAAAAAACAGTCGAAAAACACAGAACAACAACCCATAATTAGAGATATGACGTATACGTACACGAATGCAAATTGAACGTGCACTAGAATGCCTTCATCTTCTATATCCAGCTCATTTCTTTGACCTTCTCTGAAATAATAAAAAAACGGATATGCATAAACGACAGCAAGAAGGAGACGCTAGTTCTTGTACTAAACAACGACCGCGTCCATGATGAAATTTACCAAGAATTATACCTCAGGCGGCCATTGAACGTCACTCGCCACCTCAGCATCGGGTGCAGAACTTCAAACTGCAAGCCTCCTGCAGTGAATGTTTGTCCGTCGGTGTTGTAGACAGTTGTGTCGGGGAAGCTGGGGAAGTGAAAGTAACGTCCGTCCTCGAGCTTCAGCATCAACCATACCTGGAACAGATAGCTGCCATCACCATCGATTCTAAACCCGTTATTCTCTCCCACTCTCATTCTCTCTCACGCATATTGATACACACTTTTGCCTATATTGTTTCTCTGTCTCAATCTCTCTTTCTCTCTCTCGCTCGCTAGACATCTCACTCGCTCTCGCTCTCTCCCGTTCTCTCACGCTTTCTCTTTCTTACACTCTCTCTGTCTCCATCTCCCTCCTTTCCTATCTCTCATTTTCCTTCCATTCCTCTCTCCCTCCTTCCCTATCTCTCATTCTCCTTTCATTCCTCTCTCCCTCCCTCTCTATCTCTTATTCTCCTTCCATTCCACTTTTCCTCCTTCCCCACCCGCCCTATTCCCCTCCGTTCCTCTCTCCCTTCCTCCATCTATCCCTTCCTTTCTCCTTCCCTACCCTTGCTTTTTCACTATTGATTCTAAACCTGATACCCGCTTCCGTTAATTTTAAAGGCTTTTAGTTAAACAGCAACGAACTTCGACTCAATAATACTATATCTGCCGGTACTGTATACTGCCACTTCGGCGGGAAATGTGTAACCCTCAACCCTTATAAGTGATCTACTTCCTACCTCTGCAGTTCTTCCGTGTAGACGCGTGATACGCGCCACCAACATGTTTCCACGGCTGTCCACTCCATTAAAAGATACACAGTCAAATGCCTGCAGCAGTAAGTTTAGCATGCATGGTCACATGGCACGCTCACAATATACCTTGCCAAAACGGAGAAGGGTACAGTGAGGTGGATATAT